CAAGAAAATTTCAAACTTTACAAAACTTTGTTAAAGCAATTCCTTTGGCAGAGTGGTCAACCCTAGTGTCTGCAATATATTTTAAAAACCTAAGACTCCCATTAGAGACTTCCTCTTACATTATCAGTACTTTGTCAAGCAAACAGATCTCAAGAAGAGTTCACACATAAAACATTATTGACATCATTTTCTCTCTAGATCTAGAGAAACTCAAGTGCTTCAATACATGTTGATTGACATCTTAATGCAACTCAAATGATCCAAAAAATCCAAAAAGTTTGCAGAAAATGTTCTGTTTAGGGTGTGTAAATCAGTACAATGCATCTTCGCCAAAAATAAAACTGGATCAACTGGGTACAATTACAACACATTTTTAACACATCAGTGCTACTTTAACAATACTGCTGTCATTTTTATCTTCTCTGATTGTGAAAAACATTCCCTGCATGAGTCTGTAGAGTCGCCTAAAAGACCCTTACTGCAACCAAACAATTTTTATTCCATAATCACGTCAACTCTGGATGAAACTTTTTTGCACCCAGATACAGAAAAAAACTGGTGGCTTTCTGGGAAATAATCCATCTGGTTAGCAATTTCTTTAACAAAGGGCTCTTTTGCATCATACCCTTTCTTGACAAGTTCTCGTCTGATACATTGCTTTACATGTGTTCTCTCCAAAGGCAGGAATGGAACAAGGTAATCAATAACTTCCGATTTCAGCAGGTCTGCAAACCAGATATTTGGTATCCTCTTTGCAATGTCATGAAAAATGACTTCCAGTTCACTTAGCGTGAGAGATTCTCTCAGTTTTCCATCAAGGATATGCCTTAATACATGCTGATTAATAGCCTCACCACCCGAATTAGACAGAAAAATGAAGATCACATTCTGATGACCACTTTCTACTTTCTTGCCTTGGTAATCTAAAAGAACAGCTTTGATTGTATCCATCATGCCAATGTGAATTTTGTCCATTTCATCAAATATAAACAAACCTCCCTTCCGACAATGTGAGACATTTCCTCTGATCCACTTGAACATCTGTTGATTGTACATTTCTACTTCTGATTCATGGGGAAAGTGAAGTGGAATGATGAACTTGTGCACAAATGGGCTATTGGTTTTGCGCTTGAAAAAATGTTCTGTGATGATATTGCTGACAAAGTTCTTCCCAATTCCAGTCCACCCATGAAATGCTAATACAAGTGGCTTCCTAATGTTTTTGGAGTTGAAGTGATTCTTGAGTGCTGCAGTGACAATTTTCTGAGCAATATGTTGACCAAACAATTCAGACTTAAGTGCTGACCCAATTCCAGAAATGTTGTTGGTGAACTCACTATCCAGACAAAAACCATGAGGGTTAGCGTGCAGATATACTGAGAGTAACAGTGCACATAAAAAGAAAACCATACTCATCTTTACAAATCCCTGCAAGGAATGGCTCTTTCTCTGAGGAGCTGGATCAGATAAAAGTGACTCTTCTGAAGATTCCTTGTCACTTTTTAACTGGAATTTTGTGCCAGAATCACTATCTTCATCATCACTAAAGGAGAATACTCGCTTCTTCATGGACGCTTGTTCAGAGACAGGCGGATACCTATGATGACTTGTATTTTGCACACATACATCTCCAGCTTTCTCAGCAATGTCATCATATTCTGAATTCCTGTTTGTATTACTTGCTTCACTATCAGACAGCTCATCATTGACTGTTAGATCAATGAATTCCATCACTTTTGGTGCAAATGTTGAAAAGAGTTCATTGCTACTTTGGGTAGCAACTGGAGTATTTGTTCTTTTACATCTTTCCCACCAATCATGGTCAAATTCCTCCTTTGGGATGCCTTTCTCATCAGCACAACTAAATAGTTTCACAGAATGAGTCCTTAAATTAAGTGACACCTCCTCTGCTGAGCTGTCAACTAAAGGCGAATTTGTTTGCGAGTCCAATTCCAAATTCAAGACCCGGCCCAAACTGGTGTGACTAGCCTTACCGGTTTGACTGGCTCTACCAGTCACCTCATGTCTATCAAACAGTCTATCAAAGGGTGTACTAAACGTCGGACAAGACATTTGTTTAGAGAGAGGGCTAAATAAGCGTTTCTTCGAAGGACTTTTGTTTGCTTCCTTCGCTTCTCGAATATATTTTGCGGCAATATTTCCTGTCAAATCCATATCTTTTAGACCAATGGCGCGTGAACGCTTTCCGATCACAAGTGAATTCGATCGGCGAACATATTCGCCCGCCCATTCTGTCTGTTCATTTCCCTCGTGATAACCTTTGTTTCCTCGAGATTGTAAAACAAGACTTTTCGAGGTTGAAGGGTTTGAAAATGAAGAATTTTCAGCCCACGGAAGAGGCGAATCGAATGAACTTAACCCAGAGCTGCAGTCAGAACTAATAGAGGTCATATTTGATTCGTAGTTCTCTTCATCGGAATCGAAGCACGGGTCTGGCTTGCTTTCTTGACTTTGTGGGCTCCATTCTTCACTCTTTTTTCCTCGATACTTTGAACAATTAGTGGGGGGAAAGCTTACATTGAAAGGAGATCTCTCAGACATTTTGAAGTTCAAACCGAGACTGAGAGTATCGAAATTCAAAGAGAGCCTGAGAAGAAGTGAACGTTGTGATTGGTCCAGAAGTCTCGATATTTTACATCATTCCCAGGCTCTCTCTCTCTTCCACCATTAGGGGAACTAGGGACTAGGAAGTGATGAGAAGTTTATCTTACAGCGATATAAAGAAGAACTTGAAAAGTCTTAGGGAAGGATAAAGTTTTATTTGTGTTCTGTAGATGACCGTTTTGACAATCCTATGTATGCTGTGCTGATGATGGATGATGACGATGAAAGGCTGATAAGTTGCCCTATACTGATGCCATTCATTCTATCCAACAAAAAAATATTGAGGAACATGCTGATCACTGTTCCATGTGGCTTTTAGATAACACCAGTGAACAATAATGTGACATTCCCAGTGTTACAACCACATCCGGCAATGTAATTTGGTATTATCAACTGAGTTGATAACGTAAATTGGCCACCGTTAAGAGTTTTAGCAAAAAGAGCCATGCTCTATTATTGACAGTTGGGTGTAAACTTAAAGTTTTGTTTACAGAGTTGTTGATGATTGCAAAGGGAAATTTTTTAAGAATGGGAAGACTACTAACTCTATGGTGGCTCTGAATGCAGGCAACTTTAACCCTTTCTCCCCCAAGATCCAGTTAGTAATTCTCCTTACTATCTGCCATACAATCCTTATGATGTTAGTTTGGAGAATTTGGTATTGGATCAACTAATAATCTCATGATTGATATCGTTCTCTATTCTCATCACCTTCCTGCTTGATATTGTATTGATATTGTAAGGAGAAATTCTGTCTTCGTCACTTGTGGGAGTGAAAGGGTTAAAACATGTGGGAAAGCCACTGGGATGTCAATTCTTTAAGATGGACCTGCACCCAACTTTTTGGCCAGAAATAGCATCCTATCTGATTGTTGCACCACTTTCCCCATCAGAAAAACCAAGACCCCTTTGCTTAGGACAGATGCTGAGAGAGTAGGTTATAATAATCTATGATCTACACCAATTCTTTATGCTTAATCTAAATTGTTAATGTTATTCCCATTTAACACCTTCATAGCAAGGAGATGAATCTATAATAGTTAGTTATTTCTTAACTTTTTAATCTATACCCACCAAACAAGTTGTCAATCTATAAAATACAACGATCATGGCGATTTTAATTCAAAGTTTTAGCAAAGGAGTTAGATCTCTGATAATATGCTCAGGACTGACTATTTTTTCGCTGAAGTCCATACAAAACCTGTCTACAATAAAAGATTTCATTCCCAACTGCATTGCTGGCTTGTAATCCAAGTCCACGTTATCTCCAACATGTAGGGCTTCTTCAGCTTTAACGCCAAAGTGATTCAGAGCAAGCTCGAAAATTTTAGGAGATGGTTTGTAAACTCCAGCACTAAACGAGCACGCTATGAAGTCGAAATAGTCATTTAAGCTCAGACGTTCGAGAATTTCACCAAGTCGTTCGTCAAAGTTAGATACAACGGCAAGATGGTAGTTCTGATTTTTTAAATGCTCCAACACAGAATGAGTTTCAGCGTAAACTTGCCAGTATTTCGATGTTGAAAATTCACGATACAAAACAGAGGAAATCCTGGCTAAATTTGCTTCATCGTGGTATCCAGCTGAACGAAATGTTTGTGTTACCACTCCATACCACCATTTTTCGGCAGTTTTATTTTCGTTCGCACCAAAGTTTGGCAGGGTTTTGTAGAATTCTCGAAAGAAGTATTTGAACGAATCGTTCAAAGGTTTAGGATTTATCTCGACACCAAAACGAGAGGCCACATTGCTGTACAATTCTCCAGGCGAGCCTCGAACATGAAATAGCGTATTACAAGCGTCAAACGTAATTAATCTTAACATCAGACTGCTAATCTGAAACACACACACTAAACCCACTTGTTCGCCATCTTGTGTCTCCTCACTCGGAAAAGACTGGGACCAATATTAAGGGTAGGGACGGAGATGGACAGGATCAGGTATGAGAAATTATCAATAGTTGAAGGGGGAGGGGTGGGGAAATTGGTTACTCAGATTTCTCGAGTCTAGAATAGGCCACTGTTAAACAAACTGTTGCCAGAAAAGGTGAGATGGAGACATTTCTTTGATGTAGATGACATTTCTGTTATAGTGCAGCCACTGTAGTGTATTGATTGCTATAGCAACAAGTACTTGTATCAACTCGAGTTAAACTACTGTATTACTGTTTACTGAATGATGTAAAATCATTGTTAGACAATTGTACTATGCTAATAGAGAGTTTATCATTGAGTGAAGGCAAAATACAGAGGGCAATGGAAGAGCTGAGTGTCACTTGACTAAGCCACTAGATGAAAACGCAACAGCCACTCTCAGTTTGGGAAAATTTGAGTAGCAGTAGGGTGGTCAAGTAAACAGCAATGCCACAAGAGGAGTAGGAAAAAGCAAATAAGCTTTATTCCTTGTTCTCCAGTCCTAGCTTACAGCCACTAACTTCCCTTCACCCACCCAACAGCTGCATAAGTCTCCTCAACAGTCATTCTACAGAATGTCACAGAAGGATTAGCCACAAGACAATGTGTGTGGTCATATTGTGCAGTGAGACTGCGGCTGTGTAGGCTTACAAATCCTTACCCTCCCATCCCAAAAATAACAACAACAACCACTTTACAATGTTCTTTTCATTTTAGCATCAAAGGTATGATACAAACATGAGGTGCATCACAAAGTCAAATGGTTGAAACACTAAGTATAGTCAAACATTGAGAAGGGGCTAATGTCATCACACAGTTCACTCTCTCAGAACTAGTCAGATAAATATATTATGATGTGATATAAATGATAAACAAAATGAAAAAAATAGCATTGTTTCAAGTAAAAACCTGCCAAATGCATCTTCTTCCACAATCGCATATGACTGTAAAAATCCCCTTCTCTTCCTTTATCTATCCTGTCTTTTCTCACTTTATCTACAAACACATCTACAGGGTTAGGTTAATAATGGCATTCAGTGGTGACTTACTGCCTATGAGGTGATAAATTTAGAATGGTATGAATATAAGGGATGGTCACTAGCTTTCTTCGTACTGATCTTTGTTTTTCAGCAAGTATGTAGCCAGGTATTCAATAGGATTGGGTGGCCTGAAACACAAACAAAAATAAAATGCAATCACATCAATCAATTATTCCTCCTTCATGGAAAAATTTATATCAATAAATACCTCTGAGATACAACAAGCTCTATTACTGGTCACAACATTGCTGTCTATTTAAAAACTCATTAGGTTCCCTCCCCACATTCTACCAAGGTTAATTAGTATGCAAAGCAAAAGAAGGCACAGGTTCTGCTTTTCCTTTTCACTCCCAAGATCTGATTATTAATTCTTCTCCCTAGCTGCTACACATTTCCCAGTAAATTAATTACAAGGATTTGGTATTAGATCAAGAGAACAACTTCTCACTACCTGTTTGCTGGAGGATGTATGGATATTACTGGGAGAAGTTACATGTTAATCACCCCTGAGAGTTACAAGGTTAACCACTTATCAATGCACACTCTTTCAATGATTTGTGTTTCCTTCTCCAAGAGGCATGTTTACGGAAAGGGTGTGCTATTAATTTTATCCTTTGTTCATGAAATTATAAAAAGGGTAAAGAAAAACACATTTTCTAGATCTTGAAGATATGACCAACAAACCATTACTTTAAGCAAAAACATCACATTAATTTTAAATCCCAACTTACTGCACTTGTACAAACTGTGTACAAGGGCTCAAGTTGAGGTTGGCCACCCCCACACAGAATGTTAAAACCATTGTTGGAAAGTAAAATCTAAAATGTAAATTCCTTTTCTTTCAAGCAAGGCCCTTCAAAGAGGTTTGAAAAATCAGGAACTAGTAAAGGAAGAGTGTATTACAAAAAGAACACAAAGCATTCTGATGAAAGAAAATCCTTACCTTTCCTTGGACAGGGTAGAGAGACCTTGAAGAAGGATAGGCACAACTGTCTGGTCTAAGTAGGCTCTGGTTGGTAATGACTGTAGCTCTACTTTTGGTTTTGTTGGTTTTTCAGCAGCCTCCTTCTCTTTCTCCACCATTTTCTGTGAATGAAATAAAAACAATTCACCAATTGACATAACTTGCTGATGCCAATCCCCAATTTTTGTGGCATTAAGCCACTAGAGGTATGGTTACCTCTCCTACATGCGAATATGATGCAAGCCCATTGCACACATCTTTACACCACTGCCCTCTCCCCTGTCCCTTAGCAGTAATTTGGCATTTGTCAGGTTATCCTGACTTTTGGTGCTACTTAATCCTAGGCAGGGAAGAGCACTGTGAGGGCAAAGTGGTAACAGCAACAAGGTGTCTTCAACAGATAATGCAAGAAAATAGGGGAAAGTTACGGAAGACTTAGTTCCAAGCAGAAGCTGTACCACTAATTTTCTCTGTTTTGTGCCACTAACTAAGCTAGATGAACCAATTTCAGTTTACCTGAACATTTTCTGTAAGACCAATTTCAGCATGGGGAGAAGTTTCCTGGGGAACCTAATAGGAACAAAGAACTTCACATTAATTTCCTAAGAAGTGGCTCGCTTGCAGCATGGAACCATCAAGTCATGGACACACATGGGATGTTGCTAAGTACAAAAGAAGCATTAAAGTCACATGAAGTGCTAGTCGATTTTGACTCTGGCTTCTTGAGTGCTTAGCAAACCTCCCAAGTACATCAATAACTTAATGGTTGCACACTGAAGGCTAACCATTGCTTTAATATCATTGGATCTTTCAAAGATCTTTCATTTTGTATGGGAAAAAAAGCAAAACAAAGTGACATCAGTATGCAACCCACAGGCAAATGAATTGAGCTTATTAGCCAATCAGAGCATGTGCTTTTGTTACGCTATGTTATAGATGGGTTCTTATTTATGATCTATTGGAAGACAGGCACATAGATGATGTTGCCATCAACTCTTTACACCCTAACATCAGTATCTATGTTGTTGGTCAATTTTTTCCTTGGTTCAAATTTTCTTTTCCTTTGTTTCAAACTCATTATCACACATTACAATTAACAATTGGTTCAT